AACGAATCAATTTCGCAATATTAGAAAGATTTATAGACATTTTATGTAACATTAATTCTTAAAATAAATTTAATAATTCAAATAAATTGATATCTTTGCAATTAAAACTCTAATTAAACTAAACATATATTTAATATTTCATAAAAAACATAATATAAGATTCACAGCAAACGCGATTATTATTTTTCTGCAACTCTAATAATAAATTATAATTTATTTATCGCAACTAATCAAAAAACAATCATTTCCCCTATGATGACTATGTTGGACGTGCAGAGTGACAAAGTAATGACAATGACTTTCCCATGACGAAAAATCATTCTTTCCAACTCCCTTCGTGACAGATTGACAAGTCTCTTCGTCTTCTTTCTTCGAGCATGGCACCCGTTGAAACTTGAAACTAGACTCGAGATTTCTCAATCGCAAAACAAAAAAAACTAAATCGCGAGAACTGAATGACAGACATGGATCGCGGCAATCATCGTGTCCCTCACACGTGCAAAATTTCAAAGTTCGAAACCGAATTCACAACCACGAAATTCGAAAAATCGACGAACAAAACCAGAAACGAGTGGCCATCGACCGCCACTCGTCTCAGTTTCGCTCTCGACGTTTCAAGTTGTATTTCCTGAAACAGATTGTCAAACAGATTGTCGTCCAGAGACTGTGTGACAATCTGCCCAGCCTTACCCATTAATTAACATCAATTCACATCAAAAAGTATCCTATCTAACTTTATATTTTAAAAAGTGGCGAAACAGATGCTCCAACACATTCATTCCACGAAATATTAATTTTTTGATGTTGTATATCGTAATATTTATTATTCCAAATATATATATAAAATGCTATCACATCTTGCAACTTATCATCAATAGTATAATACTTGCAAAAAAAGGAATACAAAAACATGATTAATCTCAATTATTAAAAACAAATCTTTCAAATTCCAATAATATCATTAAGAAACTTTATAATCGTGAAAAATATATTTTACATATTTTCTATTTAAAATTATTCAAATTAACGAAAAATCGTTTATCAATACAAAGAAAATATTTAAGTTTACATATAAAACTTGAACTGAAAAAAATTTCTAATAAATATAGTCGACATAACCTCAATCATCCGCTTAAAATATTCTCAATTTCCACGATTAATAATAATTTCTCATTACTCTACGATTTGATATTATTTTAAGTTTAGGTAATCGATGACTAGCAATCATTGCATGTATTGTCTATCGAAATTTAAAAACGTAATAGAGATCAAAAGAATATATGTATGACTTCCAAAGAAACGATAAGAAAATAAAGAAAATTGAAATTATTATTTGATAATTGATAAGTTATAACATAAAAATTGTAACAAATTTTTATAAAAAAAGACAATCATTCCACGATTCTCATCACGTCTATGATTTGACATTTCTTTAAATTTAGCTACATTTTCTCAAAATCGATATTGTAGCAATATTGCAATAAAAATGTATCATCAATCGAAATTTGAAAACGTAAATAGAGATGTATGACTTTCAAAGAAACGATAGGAAATGGAGAAAATTGAAATTTTTTTAAGTTTAGTTAAGTTTATATTTTCTCTCAAATCGACTAACAATCATTGCATGATAAAAATGTACCGTCGATTAAAAACGTAAATAGAGATTAAAAGAATATATGTACGGCTTTTAAAGAAACGATAATAAGACGAATAGTGGAAATGAAGAAAATTGAAAATTTTGAAATTGAAAATTGAAACTGATTATTATTTGATAAATTGAGAATAAAATAAGAACATATTCACATATATACAATGTGGAAAACAGGTCGTGCACGATCACTAACTCAATCGTTGTTTCAAAACTAGTCGAACAGCATCCAAGTGATGCGAAAGGAGTCAAACCTGAAAATCCTGAAAGATGTTTTCTTTCTTCCTAACGGGAAGAAATACTCTGATACTCTTTCATTTTATTGAAAATTACTTTAATAACTCCACTTCGTTAATTGTATTAAGAAAAAATTGAAAGTGGATGAGAATTTAAAATTGGACTAACGGTGTGCAAAGCGAAATAATTGACTCTAATTTAATTACTAAATAAATAACCTCAAGCCATTCCTTTATCAAAGCCTTCGAAAATAAGAAAGCAAATATATTGTTAAAAAATATATTACCTTGATTCTGAAATTCTCTCGTCAAATATATCTTCTTGCATACATGTGCAAAGGAAAAACAAAGTTAAACGCATTATGTTTCATCGTGTTTCATTATGTTTCATCGTGTTTGATTATGTTTCATCGTGTTTGATTATGTTTCATCGTGTTTGATTATGTTTCATCACAATCGAAAATTGTAAATCGTGATATAAAAGATATGGAAGAACACTTCTGTCACTGGTATTCAAAAACACAGAAAATTATCACTCACATATAATAAAAAACGAAAAGAATCTACCAGTGTCGAATTCGAAATTTTCGTTCTCGATCGAAGGAATAAAATAAATGCACGTGACTCACCATTCCATGACTCGTTATGGAAAATCATTCCACACAAGGCAATCCTACTGTAACTGTAAAAAAAGCAAATGGAATTTAGAACACGGATCGTTTGAAATTAAAAAAAAAAAAAGTTCAAAATTTTAATGAAGAAATTATGACGAAGATTGAAAATTAAGATTCCAATGCAAAGGAGTCGAAATTCAAAAGATTTTTAAGCGTCCAATGATTCTGGACGGAGGAACGAGAAATTTGAATAAAAACGTGTAAGCTCTTCGCGTGATGGATGACCGCTTTATCCTCTTCTCGAGAGAAGCGTACTCGAAACGAATATTTAAAAGAATAGTAAAGACTATTAACGCGATCGTTTAAAATCGGGGAGCAAACATTCACTCTATTTTCGCGTTCTATCCATTAAAATTTAAATAAACCATCGCGGAGGTAAAACACTGGCTCTAATTTCCAACCAAGGATATAAATAAACGATCGCGAGGCTGATTTTTACGAACGTACGAAAATTCGTAAAAATTTTGCTGTAAATAAATATGGATTAAAGATATAAGAGAAATATCCTTTTTCCTCTTCTGTTTTCTGTTCGAGTGAATATGTTGTATTTAAATAAATTTAATTAAATTTAAAATTTAGATAATTTGTTTGATTGGAAAATTATGTTGTATTAAAATATTCCAAGATGCTTGTAATAAATGAAAATTCAAATGAAAGGAAAATTGGATGAAATATAACTATAGGTTAGAGAAATCTGAAACAAACGAAAGTAAATATAATTCGTAGCTTTTCAAAGATTAATGTCTCCATAAATGTATTTAATACGATACATTCAGTGTAATGTTTTGTGTCTCTGTAATCTCTGTAACGTGATAATTTTAATATGAAAAAATATGGAGAGAAACGACGCCAATTACCAAGTTTCTCACCAAGCGAGGAGGTGATTACGTATACGAAGAATAATAAAAATGAATTATTAAAATTATCTTACTATGAAAATGAATTAAAACGAATTGAATTTTAAAGAAATCTAAATTATTCTAAAAGTGGAATGATAATTTAATTACCGTTATATGGAAATATTAAGATTTTAATAAATAAAAATAAAAATATAAAAAAATATAAAAATATAAGCGAGGAAATAAAACGAGCGAAAATAAAAATTAATAAATGAATTAAAAGTAAGAATATGAATAAATAAAAATGAATGAAAATAGGAGTTAAAAAATAAAAGTATAAATAATTAAAAGAGCGAAGGAAGGTTAATTTAGAATGTTATAAAAATAAATAATTAAAAATCGTAAAAATTTCTGAACCGATAGAATTTAATTAAAGCGTTATAATTTCGATGTATACGTCAACGGAGTTCGATGGAGAATGAATTCTTTCTCGTGACCTGTCTCGTATTTATAGAAACCGAAGTTCAACGAACGTATACGTTTCTTACCGATTGCTTTAAAATTAATTTTTCGAATACGATAATTAATAATTCAGCATTTTTTTGAATTTTCATTATTAATTTATGCATTCAACAATTTATTACAATTATATACATCACGATGAATGTAATAATCGATGAGTATTTTTTTTATAAATAAAATTAAATTTGGTGCATTATTTATATTTACTTCAATTAACATTTTAAGCAAATTTAAAATTACAAGATATTTTGTCGTATATTATTTATGATTTTACATTAAAATTTAATTTTAATTTAAATAACTAACATCGAGAACTTTATTTTATCTTAAATGATAATACTGGAACGACAACTAAAATAATTACAAAGTTTTGAAGTTATCCGAGACGAGGAATAATTTCAATTATAAATTATTAAGTTTGTAGAAATAATATGTAAGAAATAATATGCGAAGATGATTCGAATTTACATTGAAAGAACTGCTCGTGTTTTCTTCGAACAATCGAAAATGAAGAATTTCGTACATTCATTCTACTTAGTAAAACGTCTTACGAGAGAACGTTATTTTTATTATTCCATTTTTATTATCCCGAAGCACAATTTTTATCCTTCGCTTGGAAAAGTTAAAAATCAGTATACAGAAGTCATGACCTGATTCGTGTGAAAGCTCGGGAGGAGGTTCACGTGACGCGAAAGGATTTTCGCTGACGTAATCAGCCACCCCACACGAGCCCCATATTGACCAATCGGCTTGAAGAACTACCGTTGTTCGCCCATGCACCGCTGTTTTAATATAACCTCGCC